AAAAAGAGCCGAGGCATGGTGGCACATGCCTGTAGCCCAGCTACAGGAGGATGAGGCAGTAAGGATGGCCTGAACCGGAGGATTTGAGGTGCTGTGAGCTAGCCTGACGCCATAGCACTCTAAGCATGGGGCAACAAAGTGAGACTCTATCTCAAAAAAAAAAAAAAAAAAAAAAAAAATTAACCTTTATATATGCACATATAAACACATGAGAAAAGATTATTAGCAGTGTGGTGGCTAAGCTGAAAGTACATGTTCCTCAATAAATACTTACAGATTTGTGAAATGGATAAACATATATGCATATAATGTAATACTAGGACGTTACTCAATGAGTAAAACCTGTATGCCATGAGGAAAAAAACTAAGTTCTTTCATTAGGTGGCAAGGAAAAAAAGTCACAAAAGAATAAGATTTTATAAGAGCACATATATAGAAAGGAAGAAGAGGCAATTTATAGATAGAGATGGGGTGAAGGACTTCCATGTTTTGCTTCTTATATAAACATTAAGTATATATTGCTTTTCTAATATATTTGACAGCAAAGTAAAATGTCAATATTTAACTTAAATAATCTTGAATTCATTTGTGTACTATATACTTTTCTTCCTGTAATTATAAATTAAATGGGTAAAATGGTTAAATTTTTTAAAAAACCTACCTTCAGTAATTTTACTGCACAAATTAAGTTGTCATCCATAGGATTAGAAAAGAGGGCATTCAGCAACTCTCGAAGACCAACCTGAAGAATGTCTGCTCATGTAACCTGTCCATTTGTTCCCTTGATCTTTCAGGACAAAAGAAAATTAAAAGCAAGGATGCCAAAATATGTACAGACATATAAATGGTCTAACAAGGTGTTGGCAAAATAAGTGTTTTAGTTAAATACAAAAATCACAGGAACACACCCCAATATCTTTACAGAATTAGTTAGAATTACTTTATATGTAACTAAAACCTCTAATAAAACCAGTAAACCATGAGTAAAATTTACCTACCATTTATCACACATATGGTCAGATAACTTACGCCCACTTTGATGCTACCGTTTCATAAAGCATACTCTAGTTTAAGCTAACTACCTTCTTTGAACACATAGCATTTTATTCTGCTTTTTACACTAAATTAGCATATTCTATTTTAGAGTGGTATATATATCTTATTTCATCAGGCCAAGAAATTTTAGGTGCAGGAATGATGCCTTAATCTTTATACTCCCCACAAACTTAGCATCATTACTTCCATATAAGAAATGCTCAACAGCATTTTCAAAATGACTCTTCATTTAAGCCACATTTTAGTGTTCTTATTTTGGCTTATACAAAACATAGACTGAAAAAGCATAAGGGATGAGATTTTTTAAAAAAATTAAGTAGACCTGTAATAAAAAGGGATAGTAAGTTAGACACTGGATTGGACATAGACCTTTTAGATACACTGGGTGGGATGCACATTTGATGGTGGATTCACATCTTATATTTCTGATATTATGGTGTTTATAGAATTAAGTTTAAGTCAGGGTTTAAGAAGGTATATATCTATATATGGGATTCACTAACCAAAAAAAAAAAAAGAATCCAAACAAGTGCATTACATAGTATTATAATTATTCAGCACTTATGTTACCTACTAACAAGCATATGCTTGAATAAAGTATCCCACCTAAATTTACAAACACGTTTAGCTATAGACTCTGTACAAATGCATTTTATGTGAAAGATTAATATATAAGACAAAAGAACTATTTTAGGGGGGTAGGGAGATTAGGGAGATGTTGGTCAAAGGACACAAAATTTCAGTTAAAGAGGAGGAATAAGTTCAAGGATCTGTTGTACATCATGATGACTATAGTTAATATGCTATATACTTGAAAATTGAAATTAGGTTAAGTGCTCATCCCACAAAAAAATACGTATGTGAGGTGATACATGTTAAGCAGCTTGATTTAACCATTTCATTGAATACATATATCAAAATATGTTGTACATTACAGATGTAATTTTGTCATTTAAAGAAATAAGTAAAAAATATTTTAAAAGAACTATTCTAGGTGAATTAGGGTAAAAAGCCAGAAACTCTAGTCTCTCTTCTCTTCACTCAAAAGATTGTGTTCTACAGAGTAAAAGTTGCTTTGAGTCACCATCTGAAATATTATGATGCAAGGACTCAAAAAGTATCACTGTTGATAACCTCAAAAGCTTAAACTTAAAACACAGCTTCCTAAAAGTACATAAAGACTTTAAAAAGCTCAGTAATTACTTTACAACATCCTGCCCATGAGTAGGAGAAATAAATGTTACAGATGTCCTTTAGATTACAGATACTACTGTGAGTAGATACTGAAACATGTTCTTTCTCTCCCACTCCCCCCTTTCATTTTACTCTTAATATTGTATAAGTACAATGTGCACACAAATTCCTCACTGAGATCAACTTATGTTCTCAGGCTGTGTTAGTATTTAAAAGAAAAACTGCTTACCTCGAGGTTAAGATAAAGCTCTCCCAGAAAGAGCACAAATGCATGAAATCGTTTTCGAGTAACTTCATCCCCTTTTGCAGCTTGATCTTTAACTTCATATTCAGTCCGACATCTAATAAAGACATATCTTTTGTAATCTCACATTTTTTACATAGTCAAACAAGATGACCACTTGTCAGTTTGGTTGTTCACAGCAATAGAGGCAATTACAGTGTCCCAACAACCTGACTTTCTAGAATAAAGAAAGTGTTTCTGTCTATTGTAGAGGCTAGAATATACAGCATCTTTTCATACTAAGACTCCCGTTTCAAGGAACTAATAGTTTTATTTTCAACTATTCTTATCAGATCAAATTGGTAATATGTTTAAGCAACATAATGTCATGAGGTTCATGGCTTACCAGGACCAAAAAGTGGGAGGAAAAAGCCTCACCTTATTTGTTTTATAGGCTTCTTGATAATCACTGAATTTACCTAAATTGTCCCTGTAAAAATTTTTTTGAATATTAGAACTTTGAAACAGATCCTTAAATATATATTGATGGCCTCCAACTAAACTGAAAATAAAATTAATCCTTAAGTCAAATCCATTACCCTTATAACTTCCAGTACACAGATCAGAGAAATATTAATGTGAGGAAATAATTTCCTAATTAAAACCACAACACAGAAAGCAATTGATTTGGTCTCTATTTCCAATGGAGGCTAATGGCTTTAAACAACAATTTTCCTTGCTTAATTTTCCCCCGACTTGGCCCATTTGCCTCAGAGATAACAGAAATAAATTCTCCTGGAGGTTACTGTCATAGTTCTTACGGAGTACCTAAATTAATCACAAGATGCCTGTCACTGCCTTCATTCAGTATAATTATGATGTTGGCTGCTGTCACTAAGGTGGATTTTTGCAGTCCAAATGTGGACTGCAAAAGTTATTGTTTTGGTGTTAAGTATTTTTAATCTTCATTGATAAGGTGGTGAGAAAACTCTAGGAAAGTCATTTTATATAAAATGGTTGACAATTTTTCTTTTAAAGAAAAAGGGAAGAGCTATTGGGACCAAATGGCTTCCCCATATAGCCAATTTAGGTTGGCTTTGTAAAAAATTTGTAATGAAGAAAAAAGAAATCACTTCTTGCTCAAGACTCTACCTTGGGTCAGTTTGTGAGCCAGCCATAAACCCAGTATAACTTATGGTGCCTATGTAGCCAATTCCAATGCTTACAAGATGTATTAACTGAGTACCATTCCTCAGATGTAGTAAGATATTTGTTACTTTCTTGTACATATTAAATTCTTTATCAAAAAAAAAAGCTAGGATATTTATGGATAGAACACTCTAGCTAATACTGGAAGAGATCAGTGTTTTGTTTTTTGGGGTTTTTTTTGAGACAGAATCTCACTCTGTTGCCCTGGCTAGAGTGCAGTGGTATCATCATAGCTCACTGTAACCTAAAATTCCTGGGCTCAAGTGATTCTCCTACTTCAGCATCCTGAGTAGCTAGGACTACAGGCACATACCACCACGCCCAGCTAATTTTTGTACTTTTTATAGAGATAGGGACTTACTTTAGCTCAGGCTGGGCTCAAACTCCTGGCCTCAAGCGATCCTCCCACCTTGGCCTCCCAAAGTGCCAGGATTACAGGCATGAGCCACCATGCCCGGCCCAGAGATCAGTTATTGCCAACTCAGTCATCCAAAAACATCTTGTTTGGAAGCTTTTCTTTCTGCTACAACTTCAGGGATAAAAATTTAGACGAAACTTTTGTTTTACAAATTGCTACAACTATTAGACTGTACATAAGGACATGAATATGTGTAAAAGTAACATGGTTGTGCATGGCTGACTAGGTTAAAGACTAAATCTTTTTAAGCTGAAGACTTAATTATGAAAGCAATACATATTTATTTCAGAAAAGTTAAAACAGAAAAATATAAAGAATAGTCACCTATAGGCTGGGCGCAGTGGCTCACGCCTGTAATCCTAGTACTCTGGGAGGCCAAGGCGGGTGGATTGCTCGAGGTCAGGAGTTCAAAACCAGCCTGACCAAGAGCGAGACCCCGTCTCTACTATAAATAGAAAGAAACTAATTGGCCAACTAATATATATAGAAAAAATTAGCCGGGCATGGTGGCTCATGCCTGTAGTCCCAGCTACATGGGAGGCTGAGACAGAAGGATTGCTTGAGCCCAGGAGTTTGAGGTTGCTGTGAGCTAGGCTGACGCCATGGCACTCACTCTAGCCTAGGCAACAAAGCGAGACTCTGTCTCAAAAAAAAAAAAAGAACTAATGGACTAACTATAATAAACTTGAAGACAACCTCATTATTGAGGACAACTCAAATTTTAAGAAGATTAGTTTTCCCTAAATTAGCTTACAAGTTCAATATCATCCCCAAAGTATCTAACAAATATCAACAAGGTAATTTCAAATACTGATTCTGAAGTTTATTGGAGAAAACAAGCATAGCAAAGATTTCCACACACTCTAAAAAAGAATGTAGAATTAACTAGAGGTTTTAAAAATTAGAGCTTTTTAATAGCTATTGCATGGTAATAAAAAGGAACACAATAAGTGATAAATGGAATATAATGAAAGTCCAGAATCAAAACTCAAACATAAAAATGCAGTGTGATAAAGATAGCAGTTCTAATCAATAAGGATTATTCACTTTTATTCTAAGTATAATTAGATCTTTACTCAAACCAAAACTATAGAAATGCTAAGAAATACGTATCATTTTTAAGATCTTAGAAAAGGAAAGGCCTTGTAAACACAGAGACCATTACAGGAAAAAAAAAAAAAGGACTGATATTTGACAATAAACTTTTAACACTAGCAAATAAGAACAGGCCACCCTATTCTCCCCTGCAACTTTCTGTAACATATCGTCTTTAGAAAAGAGGAATAGTCAAATTCTAGTACATTTACAAGTAGTTTTCCTTTAACTTCATAAACACACTAACCTTTGAAGTAGCAATTGGCGGAAGTTGCCACTCTGTGGACTAATTGTCAGATGATGGGACAGGTAATTACACAGGCGAGCTCCCATGTAAGAGAAATTTGGGATAGATGTGGCCTGCCTTTTTAAAAAGATAAAGTTTATAATGACAAAATTACGATTTGTGTATATAAATGCAATAATCAGCCTTTAAGAATAGCAACATTCTAAAGAGGAAAAATTGTTGCTTCACGTCCCAAAAACTGATCATATATAAATCTTTTATAATGGCATCAACGGTAATTAGGGTACCCTCCCATCCGCAAACACGTGGTTACCAAGAATCACAGGATACAACAGAAATGTTTAAGGACAAATTCTTTCCCCTCCCCACCATTTACCTGAGGTTAGCCAGGAAAGCCAAAGTA